TTTCTTAAACTTGTATAATTTAATTATACTGGTTAATTTCTGTGAGTTCTGCATTGTCTTCTCATTTCGTTATTTTTGTGATTTCTTTAACAGCAATAATTTAGAGTTGACTTGTTTCTTTCAAGTTTCACTGTAAGTATTGATTTCTGGAGTGGTGTAAACATTCAGCTACATAAGTGTTCTGCTGTACAATTTATATTTCAAAGGAAAGGAATGATTGGAGAAGGTATTAAAACATAAGAAAGGGAAAGAACCAAACAGAATACTCATCTGGTATATGAACAAGAAAAATATGATGACATTTTCTTTTTCACTCTTATGTTCACCAGCTACAGATGACTTGTACTTACTGATCATAAGCTGCTATGGCATAGCTTATGTCAGTTTTAAATTCTTTCTCTCTGCACATAATAATTGTAAATTTATTTGTGATCTAGTCTATAAAAATGAAATGCCAACCTCCAGATGATCAGGATGTGAGATTGGTCACTTCATTAGGGATTTGTTTTGGGCAAATCATTCCAAAAATGTTGTATTCACTCATTACTAAGTAACCATGGCAGTTAATACTGCATGCAGAAATATGTTATATGCTGGTGTACAGTGTTTTTTTCCCTATCTTATAATATGTATACAAATGGGGATGATTGCTGCTTTATTAACTTCTTGCAACTTTGGATTTTCAGAGCATAATTTTTTATTGTTGTAATAATATATTCAAGAGTTATATTTTTAAAAAGATGCCTTTTTATGTAAATTGGTGGTATGTACATAGTTTTGTTAATACCTTTCTTTAATTTAGCATATACACTTCCTAGTCATTTGTTTAGTAGTGATCTAAAGAATAATGTAAAAGTATCTCAGAATAATGTTTTGTTTCATGAAATTTGTCTTTTAATGTCATGCAGGAAATTTTGGTTTTAGGGAGCACATCAAAGTGGATTTTAATTTAGATATAGCTACATAATTGTTCACATGTGCATATTAACAGTTTTCATATTTTTCTTATTATCACTGTTACGTATAAGTATATTTCTGAAACATGTTTTGGGATTATATGAATGCCATATTTAATGAATTTGTGTTTATAGAATTTTATTTTAATAAATTTGCTGTCTAAAAGTATTTTTAGAGATTTACTGCTTACTGTCATAAGTAGTAAGTGGTATTACGTTTGATTGTGAAATTTTTTTATTATTTTAGATTAGTATTAAAATTAAATATTTTATGAATCATATTCAGTTACCAAAATATTTTTACATAAATATGTTATAAATTGTACTAAATATAGTTAGCATAAATAGTTGTGATTAAATCAGAACTAATTAGTCACAAAGGGAGCTTTATAGCAGACTATTTACAGAAATATATTATGAAATGTTGATATTTAGTAGTTACATTAATAGTAAGAATATGAAACAGGCTTATAGAAGTATCACTACTATACAGTATTTTAAGTAATAAAATATTATTAGGTTAGAAGATGGCTGTTTTCTGGGTTGTAGTGCCATGTAGTCTGGTAGAAGTTTACAAACGTTTCAGAGATCCTTGCTGCCTCCATCATCAGGTCGATGAGTTCAGACTACTTGGCGCTACAACCCAGAAGACAGCTATCTTCACTCTCACAGCTGTGGGAACCTCAAATCCTACTTAGTATTAGGTTAAACTTAAGAATGCTGTATGTGTAATGTACTTTGTGGATTGATGTCATGCTATATAGCTTTGGAGAGGGAGTCAGGAGTAGACTGAATCACTTTTGTGTTAACTACATATGCTCATGTAATACTGGATTTTATCCATAAAATGTGTTTGCACACAATACAAGATGCAAACAAAACACTGCCATAAATGATATAAACATTTCTAAAAGTATTACATATTCTAACCAAATTTCTTTAATAAAACATGAAAAATTTGTAATAAAACTAAAAAAATTTAGCAGTAATTCTTAGTTTAAATAAAATTTTAGTTTACATTGCATGAGATCTGGGGTTGTCACACTTGTGATAATGTATATTGTGGTCTTATGGGTTATGTTGTTTCATTGTCCCCATTTCTGGGTTTGAAGACTGAGGCAACACATTCCACTGAAACTCTGATAAGTACACTCAGACTACATGGTGATACAATCCAGAAGACCACAGTCCACATTTAGTTCATTTTGTTTTAGTGACCTAGAGTTTTTCAGTCACTTTTGCCAGTGGCAATTGAAAGTTGCAGCACTAGTCAAGATGATATACAGTGCATCCACTGATGAGGCTGAATGCAATTTTCACTTGCTGGCTCCTGGCAGGAACTGCATAACTCAGTGCCAAGTGCTAACAGCAGTTGCCACAAATTATTCACATAACAATGCAACTGTGCCTGACATCATGTTAAGTACTGGTTATTGTTATGTGTGGTTATGGTTTGATATACTGCTGAACAGCATGTTTTTCTGTACAAATCATTTATGAAATGTGGTTCTACTAGAAAGTGTTGGAGAAAATTTTGTTGGAAATTTTCCAGGTATCACAGTTCCAAGCACAACTGGTGCCCATAAAGTTATTAAGAAAGTCAAGTCTGCCATGTAACTTGTAGACAAGAAACCCGTTAAAAAGTGTCATATGCTTACTGAAAAAACTAGGCACTACTTTGCCTTGATTAAGCTAGGTTAGAACCCATACCTCAGAAATCACTGAGATATCTTGCTAGAGAGACAAAGCTTCTTAAACTTTAGCCATACAAGGTTACTGTAATGCTTTGCAATCATGTGACGTGACTAGTGGGATTAATCTCTGCAGCTAGTTTTTACAATTGCTTGTGATGATGAAATTGCACTCATTTGACTATTTGTTTCTGGTGAAGCATAGTTTATTTTGCGTGGACATTCTTCTCCCAAAGTAACTGGTACTGGAGTTTTGTAGATCCACAATGTTCCTGATCTTGTCTGCTGCAATTTGTAATTGTGGGATCATTTGAAGGACACAGTCTAAAGAATGAACCCCCATATGAAAGAAGAGTTAAAGGAAAACATAAAGTTAATTTTTTTAATTTTTCAGGAAGATGTATAGAGTGTGTGCTCATTCTGGACAGTATTTTCAGCACCTCTTATAAAAAAGGGAAGTTAATTTTATTGTTCTTATTGAGCGATACTTGACGTATCAGGAAAATCTTGCAATGCTAGGTGGTGAGTGCAGTTCCTGCTTGGAGCTTTAAAGTGACCATTGTGTTTAAGTTTGTCAGTAAACGCACTGTACATTAGCCAGTGTACAATTTTAATGCCATTTACATTCCTTGAACATTGGTGTAGTGAATTTACCCCTGTTGAAACTTCTTTCTGCTCCAGTTTAAAATGTGTTCCAATTTTGGTGGAGAATCAGTGTGAAAGTGCCAGTACACTCTCCACATTGCACATATTAAGAATGTTTTATATTATTGGCTTACAAATGAGAGCTTGTCATGTTATTTCTTATCTACTTTGTGTCTTATTGAGTAGTTTGGCAGATTTTTTTAAAACATTTTTCAGCCCTTCAGGTATTTAATGTTGACACCTAAAAATACCATTTTACCAGGTATAAAATTATTTTTATGCTGAAGATGTTAACATTTATGTCAGAGTGGCATGTGGATACCTGTGTGTGATTTGTAAAACTGAATAAAGTAACTGTATGAATGGCAGCTGTGCACCTGGTTCAGAACTGTAAAGTTGTAGGACTGCATGAATAATACAAGAAAAACACATGATCTCTTTATAGTAGTATCAGGATAAATTATATTTACAGTAAAATATCTAGTGCCAGTGTCAATTAGATCACTGTTTCTTATTTGCACATTACTCCCACCAATGCAAAGAAATTGTTGCTAAACACAAATTTCCAAGATTTCAGGTTGAAGTACAATTATTTGGTCCAGTAATGAAATAATTTTAGCCTGTCATCATCACCTTGTTATGAAATAAACTTGTACATATGTAAATTTTTATCATCTGTAATATTTCTGAAACTATTAACTCTGAAATGAATGTAGTCCGTAACAGTGCCTTGTGTTACATTACACTGCTATTCAAAAATCATTCCTATAGTGTAACCCATGAAACGTTTATTATCTTCATTACCTGGCTCAACAGTCAGAGATGGTTGAAATCAGGCCAGTTGTTCCAAAGTTTTGTGCAGACATACAAATAATCTACATTCACCCTTTTTGTATATTAGAGCATTTATATAAATAAATTTCTTACAGAAGAGTGCTCAAGAGACAATGTAGACAGGCATACATTTTTATAAACAAATTGGCCCCACACACATGGGTACTACATGAGCACATTTAGTGTTATTGTGCAGTGTGAGCTCAATATTGCAGTAATGTATTTGTAGAGGAAATGGAACTATCACATTGTAAACTGAGAGCTAACAGTGCCAAATATACATATTTAATAAATGCTGAAGGGAGGAACATGCTCAAAATCTTTCTAGATGTAATTACATTGTCAGTTACAGATTAATGTATGCATATCTGAATTAATGTTCTTTGTTATGGTAATAAGGAAACATTTTTGGATTATTATAATAAATCAATTAATTGCTTTTAATATTTTTAAAATATGCATGTGATCACACAGTATACAAACCTGCTTCATATTTAACGTGAATTTTCTTCTGTTGAGCAAATGCTATATGGTATTTTCATTTAAAGGTTTGTATTTAAAAATTTTCCTCATTTAATTTTCACTTATAAATGCCCTCCTTGATTAATCTCAGTTGATAAATTAACTCTTTTTTAAAAACAATCTTTTACACTTTAGCACTCAAATTCATTGCCCCCATAAACTGAACTGGGATTCCACTACTAGAAGAACTAGAAATAATTCTTCTATTTATATAAAGTACAGGTTTTTTAAGCGTTTGTAATAAACGTTTTTATGATGGATTGCCTAAACTGCATTAGTTTGTATTATGTGCTTTGTTTCAATCCCACATGCATAGTGGAGATTATATTTTGATATGTTATTTGCAATATCAAAAAGCAAACTTAAAACCATACCAATGTCAGTAGGTTGACAAAGTAATGATTTAGGCTAAAACATTCTTCTTTTCATGTAACATGTGCAAGTGTGAACTGTCATTACATTCTTTGTTTGAAATACTGTATCTGACAATATGTTAACATAAACTTCCACAACAATATCTCCTTCACCCAACCAGAACCCCTGTCATGCTGTCATTCATATGCATAAGAGCAATAGAATTTGTTATTGTAAATATTCATTTCAGTGCAGCCATGGTCAATATGCATTTCTCCATTTACTTGTTTCCAGTTTAAAGTGCTGATGAATGTGTACCATTTTAAAATGTTTACTTTACATTAGATACAAGTATGCAAACATTTTACATGAATTAATAATTTTTAATCATCTGGGAGTTCAGATGTGTTATGGAAAATTACTCTTAATTTATGCAGTATTTTTCAGGAACTCATCTATTGCATAATTGGAAAAATTACTGAATTAATGTCAGCTGGTCTTGTCTTCTTTTACCTGATGCTCACTTTAATTGGGGTAATACTGTTGTGTATATGAAACCTAAACAAAATGGATGTATAAGAAGTGAGTTCTTCTTGATCTGTATATTGTACTTGGATAAGAAACCATGCTGATTATGCCACACCCTCCATGCAATCTGCTAATGTTCACAAAAATATTTACATTGCATTGTATGATCAAATTTATGTTTTCATGCTACATACAAATTCTTTCTGTTTGCGGCTAAGGGTGAAGAGAGCGAGTATGTTGGTGGGTTTTAATTCAATTTGTAACATGTATTAAGTTATTATGTTACTATGCTCACGTGCCTAAACACCAACAGAAAGATGGCCAAAATAAAAAAGTCGTCATGTGCCAAATTTGCAAATGTACAATACTAAAGCAGGCCAGTTCTGTTTTATCTATTTGGTATTTCTTTGTATTCATTACACTTTATTAACATGTTTTTATCACCTTTTATTCTGTGCTGCATTTTTCAGTGGCAGTTATATTTAGAATGCTGAGATTAAAGTAGGATTGTATCGTGTTTTTATGTAGATATGCAATTTCTATTTAAATGTGGTTCTTCTGATTTGATGATCCTTTCTAGTAAAAGTTTGCGAACTATAAATATTACAATGCTTCCAATTTTTCCATTCCCCATCCCTCCAACCCAAAATATCTGCAGAGAAATTATTACATTAAATTCAAATAAACATGTGTTATAACAGTTTATTCTGTTTCTCACAGAAATACAACAAAATATGTTCCCATACTGAGTATGATAACAAGTAGGTCTTCATATCTCAGTTTTATTAGATGATTCCGTCCACAAAGAAGTGTGAATTAATTTGTCATCACTAGCTGACACTAGTCAGTAAAATCAGCTGAATTATCAGAATACTGTAGTATTCACCAGGAATTCTGATTTGTGATTGATATAGGGCAGAGGGCGGAGTTTAATGACTACATGTGAAATGAATATGCCTGTTGTTACATAAGAGAAAGTACTGGTTATTTCTTCACTTCTTAGATTACATTCACCTTAAATAACACAGAATATAAGTTTCAATAATAACAGCCTTATTATGAAATTTTCCTAATATTTTAAGATAGTATATGTATTAACTACCTCTCATGAAAAGGGAAAATTAAATCAAATATTTGGGTGGATAAAAGGGCAATAATTAGAGTTTTGTAGCTTCCAGTAACAAAGGAATAGCATTACTTTGTTATATGTATCAAGTTAGAGATGAGGAAAACATATCAATGATTTTGCAGCTTACATTATGGAATTTTGTTCAGTGAAGACTGCAGAGAAAGCAAATGTTTCAAGTTACTGCAGTTGTGTAAATATAAAAGTAAAATTGCTGTTTATTTGTACGGAGGTAAAGCTCCCTTAATTCTGTAGTAAGCAGGTGTAGGTAAGTAGTCAGTTTTGCAAGTTGTGTGGGAACATGAAGGTCATATATCCCAGAAATTCACCACATAGTAAGTTTGATGGGCACTTTATAATGGTTGTGGTAATGAGGGAAAAGTGTAAACTCCATCTGGTGGGAATATATGAAGCATTTCTATTGGGTTGTGTTGACTAAATATTAAGAGTTAAATTGCACAGATAAATTTTGAATTGTATTTAAATGATAAATGCAGTATTACTAATCAGGATTTGAGGTTCTGGTGGCAATGAGTACATTAATGGCTGTCTTCTGGGTTGTAGTGCCATGTCGTTTGGTAGAAGTTTACCAGCATTTCAGAGGTCCTTGCTGCCTCCACCATTGCCTTGATGATGCATGATCTCTAGTGTTGGTTAACTTCTACCAGACTACATGGCACTATAACCCAGAAGAAAGCTGTCCGTATGTTCCTAATACTTCACAAATTGTAGTGTTCTACAAAAAAAGTATGTGAACTTAATGATAGAAACATCTGAAAACATGAGGCCACCTAGCACAAATTTCGTAATTCATTTCTGCATATTGTGTGTACATATGTGGCACTTAAAGCGTCAAGTACTAACAATCAGTTGTAAGTTGCATCTTTTGACTTCTCTAGAATACTCGTAATTTTCTGTGGGAGAGGGCACGCTACTTTCATGTAACACCGCAGAGTGTATGAAATGCATTACAATATTCAAATTCATCGCCCTGATGATGGAGGCAGTTTGACCACTGAAACGTTGGTAAAGATCGACCAGACTACAGAAATCTTCATACTCTCCGCTGTGAAAACCTCAAATCTTACATGCAATAAAATATGTATACTTTGGACGCCCCTACATGGGTATACTCTATGGTTAGTAGTAACTTGGATATCTCGAAAGAAACATGTTTTCAATGTGTTATCTGTGGTGTAAATACACGTCATGTTATTTTGGTGGACGCTGTATTGTATAAATTAATCTACATATTATCATAGACGTTTTTCAAGAGTGATAATTATATATCTAATATGCTTGAGTTTGAAGATGATTATTTTTTAGAAGAAGATAAAATGTGAGTAGAGGACACTACTGCGTGCCCCGTCTTCCAGTAGTATTCCATCCCTACCGTCTCTAACGACACTTCCAAATTTGTTGTCATTTGTATTCCGTAAAATTATAATGTTCCAATTGATCGTCAGTCTCGTGCTATTGAATTTATAGTTGTACTATTAATAAATAACCCGTATTTGCCCTTTAATTTATCTTATTCTATCTCAAGTTTTAATTTCTAAGAGGTAATCACCAAGGTCATACTAATTATTTGTAAAAAAAATGCTGTCCAGTAACTTTATCTATATTATTTCTTTATTTAAGTTAAGATTATAACCCAGGTTCGCTCATGTGCAGGAAGGGTGTATCTCCGTGCACATCTGCGTCACCCCACTGTCCATTTGACTTAGAGCATTTTCTCTCATTCTTCCTCACATTCAGTGTGGCGTGTGTTGTGACCCAATACCAGTCCTGTGCTGAACATGGTACATAATTCAGAATGTCTACTCGAACTGAGTCTGATTAGTGACCAGTATTTCCCTTTTTCAATCAGCAGCAATAGTGAAGGACACTGCATATATAAAATGTACTGCTATATGTACTGGTTAGGTTAGATTAATTGTGTTATTAAGGTTAAACCAAAACGTGAAGGAACATTTTATAATACCATGAATATAAGCAACAGATGAGTGGGGTAGAGATGAAGGAGACACCAAATGGTAAAGGGTGGTGAAAGGGGGATTGGTGAAAAAGGAGGGAAGCAGTACCAGTTTCTTTAATGTTATTCCTAAATCAGGGGTCAACAAAAACTATAAACATGTTATTTGATAGGCTTAGTAATAGTCAGTAATTTATAATTATTATATTATGAAAAATTATAAAAATTGGCTGTCATGTGGTCACTATGGTTTGTCTGCTCTGTGAAAGAGGAATGACATGTATTTTCAGAAAACAGCCAAAGAAGTTTTGATTAGCTTATCATAAAAGGTAGTAAAATAATATGATCTTTTGTGGGTAAATGGCCTGCTATGTCATCATTGGAGTAAAAGATGTTGGAAATTTCTGAAACAAATAAAGAAATATGTTGGTTATAGAAGATGAGCTTCTTCACAGATTTAGAGAGTTGAGGAGGTGGGTGGCCTTGTCATGTTTCTGATGCTTTACCCGTGTTCAAGGGATTCATGCTACATTTTGAAACTATTGACTTTACAAAAGCTTCTGCATTAAAATTATGAAGATTGTATTTTCAAATCTGTACAGGTATTTTCTTGTTAATATATGTCGTTGTTTTTTCTTATTTTATGTACATGTCATTGGCTGATGAAGTTAAAATTCTTGTACAGTTTCCTCCAACATTTTTTGTCAGTGGCTATGGGGAAACAGATGTAATAGTATTTTATGAAAATTGCGTAATGTATATTGACACTGTGTAATCTGAGCTACTGAAAAAGCATTGTTAAATAAACTGTAAATCAATAATACATAATATATAAGAATTTATACTGGCTATTAATGTTGTGTGCAGGAGGCTTTTCCCCCACCCATTTCTGGTCACTTATTTCAAAGCTTCCACTTGCCTTCCCCTACTCCACAATCCCTTGTGACAACCATTCAAATGGCAACATAGTGTTAAATAAGGAAGTAGTAGAAGGAATAGGAAAAGAGGCTCAAGAAATTACACAAAATGCAATTTTAATGTAAAAATCTTGCATAAAACTTTTACAACTTCATTTATAGTTTGAATCCCATGAGATGAATAAAAACCAAAATGTGTAGGGAGGACGGATATTAATAAGTAGTTACACATGATGGTATCATAGTTGTACATACAGTAAATGTAAAGTAAAGTAAAGTTTGTCCCACTATACGCCATGTAGGTGTTTGGGGTGAGTGGAGGTATATCTCCTCTCTTTCTTGACCTCGGCACTAGATGGGGGTGAGTGGTCAGCATCACGCCCAGTTGTACATACAGTACTGAATAATAATACAGTGGCATGAATACCAGTATTAAAACATATTGTTGCATTTTTATGATAAGTATGAATTCAATGCAAATTAGAAGATTAATTTTGCTTAGAACAAAAGAAAGTAATAAGAGTAACTTGTTTTCAAAGAAGTATTGAAGTAGGAAACATATGTAGAAGTTTGTTAAAGCTCAGCTACATAGTCACTTTTGTTAAATTTTTCTTTGTATTCCTTTATGCATTTTTCTTTTCCATTTTTATTTTGTTTTTTAGTTTGTGTACTGAATTGTGTTTCAGCATGTATTTGTTGCAGTTGCACTTTTGACCTGCCTCCTCATCAGTTGTGATTTCTGCTTTGAAGTGGATATTTGTCATTTAGTTGCCTCATTCCCTACTTTACTGATTCTGCATTGTGAATGTGGCCCAGTAATTCAAGATACTTAGGTTACATACCATTGCAAAGGGCAGAAGTAGAATACAACTCTCTGCATGGTGATTCACGCCTGAAAGCCATCATGGAAGATCGAATGTATGTTGTTTTCATATCCTTATGTTTTCTTGTGAAGAATTGATTTTTGTTTGAAGCATTGTTCACCAATTTATATAATTCATTTTTTGACTTTCCTTTATCAAATTAGGACCTTAAGAGTGTACTCCTTAACACCAGTTAGTTAATGAGAATTACAAGAAAATGCATTATACCAACAGTAATATGTTGAACATTATCAATTGCCTGAGCTATATTTGATATGCATGACATTTGCACTTCAGGTGATTGTTATTGTACCAGATTTTATTACTTTTTTATTCAGCAGTGTTGCCAACCACACAACAAAAATATTCCAGTATTCCCCTTACTTTTTGAGTCTTCTTCATATATGAAATATATGTCAGACAACATAGAATGTCCAACAATATTGGTATAATGGATCAATGAGTGTCACACATCTTTAGAGAATAAATAAAATGTATTTTTTCCCCCCTCTTTTATGTCAAGTCTTCCTGTATTGCTTGCTTTAGCATACCAACACTGGCATGAAATGGATTAGTTGTGCTGTCACATCTGTGTAACATTTAGGACATAATGTAGACCCCTGATTTTCCAGGGGCAGATTAACTGGGTTGTGAATTAACTGGAGTCTATCTGGTTTAAATTTTATGTTTATCATTATCTCAGAAAATATATTTCCAAACTAACCTGGATAATCGGGAGTCTACTATATGTGCAGAATATGACACTCCTGCATGTGCACCTTATGATTTTTGTTTATCCACTATCTTCATGTGTTACCAGATGCCAGTGGTATCATTACATCCAGTGCATGCATGCATAAGAAACAGCAATGATGCTGAGTACATTTACTACGGTTATGGACAAAAATAATTGTAATTATGAATGCTGTTAGGAAATATGTTTCTTCAGAAGTCTGTGTGTTGGAACATCTGAAATTGGTCCGGTAATTATTTAAGTTTGATATTTACAAATGTAAATGTTGAAACATCATGGCAGAAAATGTACTACAGCAATTGAATGTGATATGTAAGCAATGAATGTTTTCATTGCCTGTACTTTATCATTCTTTCCATAGCATAAGATGTTAGGTTATGTTATTTCAGTCCATGTCTGTGAGTAATGTGGGCAAAATTTGAGATATGGTGGGTAGATGCAAATATATTGAATAAGCAGTCACAGATAGGTGTTATGGTGAGGTCCTCTAGCTTGGTAATTAGATGGGATTAAGTACTACTTACCATTAGAAACTGACGTGGTATGAAATGTTACACAGAGTGTGGACTAGGACGGATTTTATGGAATGACCTACAATATGGAAAATGGACAGATTTGGAGCTTGGAATGTCAGGAATCTGTAATACTCAACTTAATTGAAAACAACAGCAAGATAATATTGCTATCTCTTCTTGGTAATCTGTAGTCTAGCATCTGATGAACATGATTTCTTCGTCTCTGTCTGGTATTCCTTAGTGTCATCAGTCATTGTGTTAATCTTGAATAAATTCATCATATACTCACTTTACTGTCTTAATTCCATTGACATTATATGGCAGAACGCAGGTTGCCTTTGTAAGAGGAAGGAAATCCAATTTGGATTAGTTTTAAGTGTACATTTGATTTGAAAATAATGGCCTTGTTTTCTACAACTCACTTCAGAAGAATATACCAGTATATACACTCACCTTTCACCATGACATTTTTCATAATTAAGGAGTCCCTGTGTCTTTATTTTAAAATGTACTGTCATTGTTCCATATGTTAGTAGTTTAACCATGCTCTGCATATGCTATGGTTTGTTGACAAATAACTATTTTACATTTTTTATTCCTTCCTTTCATGAGATAGTGTAGTCAGTGTAGTAAATTTTATGAATGTTTAAGCACAGTAATTGCTTTTGATTACTTTCAAATGTTGATAGATTGAAATACAGTTAGATGAGATATGCTGTATTCATGTAGTAGTGTAATCTGGTATTTTGTAAGTGACTCCAGTTCATCTGCAAAGAATAAGGACAGAAAAATCTGCATAAGACATTGAAGATGATGAATTGATAAACATGTAAGTAAACACATTAAAATAGATTGTTACTTGTTTATAACAAATTACTTTGTAAATTAATAATTTAACATTTTGTAGATCTATGTTTTGAAATTTCAGGTGAGAATAACACAAACATTTTAAAACTGTTACCATTCAAAGCTATACATTAATGGAAAATGTGTTTCTCCTTAGTAGGTATATAGGTATGATCAGAAAATTCTTTGATCCCGAAATATTTTATGAAATATTTGTGATGTCGTTTCATTTCCTGAAAAAATCTAAATGTTAGCAACCTTCCTCATCTGTTTGAACATAATTACATGGAGAAGAGTCCTTCAATGAGAAGTTCATAGATATCATCTAGCCAAATTCCCCATCGTGCATGAAACCTGGTGATATTTACCATGTTTACGAGAACTGGCCACTAGTTTCTGTACTCGATCAGATGATTCATTTTTCTTCAGCCTCCTGTCATTTTCTCTCTCATAAGTCCAATTATTCTCCTCAGTACCCTGTTATCAAACACCTTCAATCTTCATTTTTCCTTAACATCAGAGTCCAAGTTTTCTGTTTATATTCAGTAAGAAATTAGGTTTGCCAAAGAATGAGACCTTAAGGAATTTTCCATTCACATGTATACAAATAGTATCCTACTCAATAAAGTGCAAAATTGCTTTTCTTTTTTCCTGTATTAATTTTTTTAATTACATTACACTGAAGTTTGAAACTTGGTTCTTAACTATAGATTGTAGTGCAGTGTTTCTAAACCATTGTGGTTCACTGTGAGTTTTAAAGTGTCCTAAGGTTTTGGCATTTTTAAACATTTAACAGTATTTCAAAAAGTGTGGTAATAGCAGTGAGATGCTATTCATATGTATTTTGTCATCTCATTAGCATCTACTACTATTTTTTTATTAAATTATTGTATCAGTAGTTGGTTTTTTCTTTATATTTGTAACATACTGTATGCACTCTACCAAAATAGCCATTTTTAATCTTGTTATAATTTAATCTTGAATTTTTTATGAACTGTTTTGTGTATTACAAAATATTACATAAATGAACTGCACTGTTTTAACACTCAGGAAGATTCATTTATCAGTATACTTGTATTTCATGTTACTAAATTCTATTTTATGTGTGCGGATCAGATGGAATGGGCCCAGAATTATTTCAGTGTTTGGCTTTGGTATTATTGGTATTAAATGGGTTCTGCTATCACAGTTTCATTTAATTATAGTTATTTTTACTTCACTTTAAGGTGAAGTATATCTCATTATTATGTCTTAGTAATGAATTTAATACAACCAGGGTTTTCTGCACCCTGTAATATACCTGAAATTTATTTTCTTTATTTTCACTGTTATGTACATATGAAAGTGCTTCTTGTTCCTATTCTTATGAATGCATAGTTAGTGTGTGATAGAAAATAGTTTCTTGTACAAATGTTGAGCATTTATATGTTTGTCATTTTATGGATGGAAGATATAAGCAGTTCCCTTTTATATGTATGTGCGTGTCAGCTGTATTTATGTTGCTGTTTTCTGATCAGTGTGTAGTAGCATTTCACAGATAATTCAGTTAGAAGAACAGTGGGAAAATGTAGTTTTAAAAAAGGATTCTTATTTGTCAGATACATGTTTTTCATTTTTCTGTTGCGAGGGTTTAAGGGATAATAAACATGAACTGAATGATGGAGTTTCACAAATGTGATGTGACTTTGCCTCTTTTTATGTTTTAATTTTCATGATTTTCCTTAACTGCTTCTGGAATATTTAGACTAATTAACTAATGGTTATTCTTTCCATTTTTCATTAATTCACAATGCATCATTAAGGTTGTAGAGCTTGCTTTGAAGTCTACTTGTGATTGCAATTTGTTGTTGACTGTGCTGTCTTCCTTTCTGTGCCGCTTTCCTGGTGTCAATTTTAATAAAAGAAACCAAGGTGATGATCATCATCACTCTGAAGGTGATTATGATGGTAATCAGGACGAGCGGAAAGCATTGTTGGATTCGCTGCAAACACCATTACATCTTTTGGCATACCAGAACACCGTGTAAGTGAGTTCTGTTATCTCCTTTTGCGGAACTGAATCCTTGCTAGCCCACTCTTGCTTATCCTAACCCAACATCAGCAGCAGTAGCATGGAATTGTGTAGCAAGCACATCCTGCTATGCAGCACCGCACCTGCAAAGAAGAAGCAACAGTCCATCCCATCATAGTTAGAATATATAGGATGCACCAAACATTGGATCACATAGTGGTTTTACAGTACAAAATCCTGCATTCTTAGCATTTTTAATTAGTTTTTCATAATGTTTATGTGTTGGACAAAAAGGAAACAACAGTGTTTAGAGAGGTTAATTATACCTTTCAGAGAATGTCCTCATTGTTACTTGTTTCCCCTCCAGTTTATTAATATTCCAGTAGTAGTATAATTTTTAAACAAATTCGTACTTACTTAAGGGGATTATTTTGTTTTGTGATGTATAACCCGGTGCATTGTTCAACACGTTTTTATATAACAAAAAATTGATTTTTGAAAGTGAATACATAATTGATTGTTAATCTTTGTATTTTAAATGGAGTTATTTTTCTTCAGAGCACTTAGAAATATAGTCCCTTCCACTTCTTTCATTTGAGTACTGCTGCCTTATAAGAAATGAAAAGCACTGGGTACTGCCAATTAAGAACATGTTAAGTAACTAACTATATGTTACAAAGTCCTTCAATGGAGGCTAATATTCAAGTAAGATTCTACTATTATAAAGATTCCCCATACTTCCATTGAACATGAAGATGTATTATTGTCCCACAACTTGCCCCTGTCCTAAGCTAGATGAATCCAGTCCACATCATCGTTTGTTCTTGAAATTTCTGCTAATTTCAGGTCTAACTTTATTCAGTTATCTCCATTCATTTGGCTTTGATTCTGCAACAACTGCAATTTAGCCTACTTCCTTTGATACTTTATTTCTTAGATTCACTAACCAACTCTGCTGCTGGCATGTATATTGTTCCCTCTGGCACTGTAACATAATAATCTGATAGTTTTGACTTCTACATTTTAAATAGATTTAGAAAATTTAGTATAGCCCCTTCATTGGGTCAGACTCTGATGATTCTTGCAAGTGCCAGTCACTGTTCATATAATTAGAAGACTTTTGTCCATATGAATTATCATCCTACACTCAAGGCCCTTCTATTGTGATGTGCACTCTCTCCAGAATCAACTGCCATGGGAACATCAAAACAGCTCTGTGAATAATCAGTACTATGCAACAAGTTAGGAAATGTACACATAACATGACAGTTTTATTGTGTTTAGCAGAATTTGACTTTTGCCAGACAAAATACTGGAAGAACACTGCTCATGGCCTGGTAACCGTGAAAAATTAAAACAATATTGATAATAGACATTTTATTTGTTATTTCTTAATTCTTGCAACAACAGCTGTAGTCATTGATATTTGTACTGATGGGAAACATTATGCCTGTCTGATAGTTAGGATGATTTCATTACCCATCCAGACTGCAGAAATGTAGGTGTAGGTTTTTACATAAAGTGACTTATTGTTGGCTGATTTAAACCAAAATTGAAATTTCTTGGCAGTTTTTACAAATTCCCAAATATAAAAATTTTCATCACAGACTACCCAGCTCTTGAGTTATGTGCGTATGGATGGATAGATGGACAAATAGGCTCTATGCACAGATGTGGACATCACTGAAAATGACTGTGCGTGGAAACCCCATGCTTAACAAGTTACACAGTTTAAACAGAAAGATCATAACCAGTAGATTGGACACATACTTAATAATACAAGAAGAACTTTTACTTTATGTTTTATTGCCTTAGTTATATTAAAAGCTTATCAACTACGTTTTATGTACAGTGTGTGTTATTTTTTTGTGTGTGTTTGTATTTATAAAATAGTGTGATTATGTAGGTTAATAAAACTGTTATAACATTTCTTTTTGACGTAAATACGTCTATGTGGAAGGGTCATTCGGCAAAAAGGCATGACGATGATGTGAAAGATCCATATCAACAATGTGTAAATATGGACCAACAACAATAGTCAGCTTTATATGAACTGCATGCATTGTTATGTTACCTAAGAAACTAATTGTTACATCATCTGTTTAATCGGCATTGTTGTGTTACATTACTGCTGTCAACAATCCGTTTTCGTTATTGCAGAAAGAGCTGAGCTGTGAATCGCCTGTAGATGAAGTGCGTCATAGACTAGATAATTTTGTGCTGGTAAAAACGTTTTAGAATACCAAAGCACTTATCTCATATAAGAATTATTACATTACATTACGGAGACGTATTTACGTCAGATTCTCCGGAACCGTGGTTCCACTGTCAACTTTAATTACGATGTTTTATTAAATTATGCTCCATAAATTAATGCTGCACTTGAATAATTCTGAAATGTGAAGCTTTGTGGGAGATACTTCTGTTTGAACATACAGCATTCTCTTGGCCAGAGCTGAATTTCCTGACCTCAGATGCCTTCTCAGTTTGCTGTTCATAACTGTTATGGATAAATGTACTGAATACTATTTGGCTATGGAATTTGCAAGGCTTATATCCTGCTATTAGTTTATATTGGTTGTGGTGTTGAAATGGTTTTTGCAAGGTTCCATTTACTGATATTAGGATTTACTATTGTAACAAATTATATATGGTTTACTTGAAGAAACATTTTAGATACTAACTTAGAATAGATCCTGTCTTGTAACCCTTTTTTCTCTTTAAACAAATTTAATGTAATGAGAGTATGCTGTAATATAGTGTGACTTATCTCTGTGTAATGTATACATGAGCATGCTTCTGAGTATCAGCCATATCTGATTGTAGTAGGCCTATCATAATTGGCCTCATTGTCATAGGCATGAAGGAAGTAATTTAGGGAGTCGGCTGTGGTTCATGTTTAAATTACTGAAGTATTTTGCATTGTTTTTTGTGAATACAATATTTAGTATTATTCCCAAAGAAAATATCCAATGAGGAAAATCTGAGATTTGAGGTTATCCATCCTGAAGACTGAGGTGATGTGTTCCTCTGAAATGTTTCTAAACATATACAAGACTGCTTGACAAAAACCAGAATAATACAATAAGCATGAAGAGAAATGTGTAGTGATAACCTTTCTTTAACTGTGAAATTTTCCTCTTCTTAGTGCAAGGGATAAACCCTGTGATAAGGAGGCCAAAGAACTCATGTCTTGTGAGGACTAAAGGTCATTCTTAGGTAATTTTTTTAAAATTATTAAAATCAAGTTTCTTTCTGCAAATAATTTGCTTCTCGATTGACTGTGGTGGATTCACAGGCAACTAGGAACCAGGATACAACATATTTTGAATTTGTGTTAACTATGATCCAAGAGGAAAGTTATTGGAAGTGGACGGAGCAATGAACAAGAGTAGGATGTTATAAATGTGTAAGTGTAACATTGAATAATTGTTCAAAATTTTGTGAACTTTGAGATAAACAGATTGCATCAGTTTTCTGTGCTTAGACATGGTAAGTAATTGAATAGTTTCAACATGGACTGGAACAATGAAACATGGACTCAATTTTCCAAAAGTGCATACAATAGTAAAAACAAACAGGTTATGCCTGGTGCTATACATCCATTCCCCCTACATTGACATGGCATGTTGCTTATTAAGCACCAGGGACAACTTACCTTACAACAATATTTATTGCTAGCAGTGGTGGCTTAACACAGGTTCAGATCTCATCTAGGGTATGTTTGTTTATTCATTCTTGTTTGTGACAAAGGTTGATTTATTACATCCACTAGACCACCAGGGCAACCCAGGAGTTGTTTAAATAGCTCTGCACATACTACTAGTGTAGTTACTTCCTATCTCAATAGAGGGAGTCATATAGAACTTGCCTCTAGGTGTGGTTGGCTGATAACCCATTGTGTACTGACGTATACAAGCTGATGCAGTTTTCCTTTTTGTGTTGTCTTGGTAGTAATCACATACAATAGAATAAAGCAAAAGTTATTCACAAAGGAAATCACATTGGAAGCTGGCTCTGAACTCAGGACCCTCTGTTGTATGAAGGTGGAGCACAGATGCTAGCCCAAATTTGGCATCAAGATGAGTATAAGTACTATTGAAATCTGTAGTGCTCCATGTCACATTCTTCAAACTCATGAAGTTCAATTACAGGAAACGTCTCACCCAAAGTTACTGGTGAATACTGTTAAATTTGGATGCTGTTTGCAAGTGAAAACAGATATGGATAATCTCCAATTCCTTATTAAAATGTTTTACAGTTTCCATTTTTACAGTGGCAAAATATTATTTAAAACACCTTTATGAATGTGATTTTGAAATGGTTTCCCCAGAATTAGAAGAGTAATAATGAATATCAATTTATCTCTGGAATATTTGCCAAATTCCTATCCAAAACAGTGGAAAGGGTTATAATGCCTCCATATATTAATTATATATACATTTTATTGTGTGTATAGACTATTGATGGTGGTAAGATACCAACTTTCTTGTGTATTTAATGTTTCTATTAATATGCATACTTGTAAAATGCTACTGAGAGCATGTATCTGAAACCCTTTTGAAAATCTGCTTCTCTCTCTCTGATGTAACAGTACTGGTAAGAAGTATGTATATTCTATTCTAAGAATGTGTGTGACAGGATTATTGTTTATTTCAGGGGAATGACTGTTACCTCTGGTAGTGTCACAATTAGAAAAGACAGCTCTAATTTAATTGGTGTCAGCATTGGTGGTGGGGCTACTCTATGTCCATGCCTCTACATAGTGCAAGTAAATATACAGTATGCCATTATGAAGATTGGGGTATAACATCCTGCTTTACTTAACATTCCCTGACTATTACCTTTCATATAACACTGGTACTGGCTAGATAACATGGCTTCCACAGAAATTCTCCAAAACTAATAGTCTGGTACTTGTTGACAATCTGAGAGCAAGCCTACCAAAGATACTATGTTGCAGTTAGTGACATGTCTGATGTTTTAGAACTGTAAAGAAGTTAACATGTAATGTAATTTATAACTCCTTCCAGTGAAGGCTGAGTAGAAAATAAATACCTGATGAATTCCTGTTGAAGTCTTCATCCTAATTTGGGTTATATGTGCACTTGCACTTTGTTAATCAATTTTCTTTTGATGATGTGAACTTTATGGCTTATTGGGCACGTCAGATCCATTGATGTTTCATTTCAAATTTTAACCTTAAAATGTACATTTAGAGCAGGCAACTGGAGGTATTGTATGTTAGTAGTTTATCGACAGGTAAAATGTATTTTAATGTAACGTACCATATTTTATTTGGACTACCTTCTTAATACAGGTGTTTGACAACACTCCAGCTGCTAAAGATGGCACTTTACAAAGTGGAGATGAACTGGTGGGAGTTAATGGAGCATCTGTCAAAGGAAAGACAAAAGTTGAGGTGGCCAAGATGATACAAGCCTCTAAGGTAAGAAACATGAAGTCCTTTCTGGGGTTATCTGAGAAGAAAGTCCTTAGACCTACTGCTTTTCTTCTTTATTCTTCACATGTCACTGTCCTACTACTGTTCACTTGGGCTGCACCTTCTGTATACTTTTTAATTTGACCACCCATTTCCCCTTGAAAGAGGCTAGCTGTTTGAAGGTCTGTTTTATCTGTATCACTTTCTGTTAGATATTACTCAAATGGAGCAGTTCCCACTGACGTTGTGGATCTCTATTAGCGGAGGCCATTGGGTAGTCACTTTGCCTTGAATTTAGAGACTAAGGATTTCTGTAACACCAGTAATATAGTGAGGTTTGAAGCTCTCATATTGGCAAGTATGAAATTGGCTGTCTTCTGAGTTGTTGCACTGTTTAGCCTTATAGAACTTCATCGGTGTTTCAGATTTGCTTGCTGCCTTCATCATCACGGCACTCACCCTGATGATGGAGGCAGAATGGCACAACAACTCTGAGGACAGCCATCTTCACCATTAATATAGTCAATATCTGTGTGGTGCCATCAGCCAGAAACCAGATCCACATTAGCATAGATGAACTTTTTTGACAAGACCACATTGTTGTCCTTTGCTGGCCTTTTTTTATTTCCAAGTTTAGGAATGTGTGGAACATTACTTGTGGTACAGTGCTTAGTCACATGGTCACCATTTACTAGGCAGGTGGTAAAGCTGTTGTATGATAGGAGATGGTGTTAAGAAAAGTGGCATACTGGAAAATATTTTTCAGATTTCCATAATTTCCATTTGTTTTCAGGATGAGGTAACTATCAACTATAATAAACTGCACGCAGACCCACAGCAAGGAAAAACACTGGATATTGTTCTTAAGAAAGTGAAGCATCGACTTGTAGAAAACATGAGCAGTGCTACAGCAGATGCCCTAGGACTCTCTCGCGCAATTCTCTGCAATGACACCTTGGTCAAGAAACTGGAGGAACTGGAACAGACAGAAATGATGTACCGGGGACTTGTTGAACATGCTAAGAGAGTCCTGAAGGCATTTTTTGATCTCCTTCAGGTTTATAAAGGTACTTATAATTCAGAAACTAACTAAAGCTATTAGTCATTGCCTGGGGTTTTGTTAAAATATGCTGATCGAAAAACAGTAAGGTGAAATTATAGGCCGTTATTTATTCGATCATGAAAATATTTCTTTTCCCATTGATTTCTATATCCTTAAGTACTTATCAGATTATTGTGCTTGCAACATGAAAAGTTTCCTGTAGTTTGTATGTTATAAGCGTGGTGTGTTTACAAGAACATTTTTAACTGTCTATACTTCACTCAATTTAGTGTACTAACTCCATGAACGAAGTTGTTCTTGAAAGCTGGTCAGAGACATTTTCCACTACTTTTGGAACCTGAAAGTTCATTGCTGTGTTTGTATGAGCTTGCCACAAATTCAAGGGCCCGGTACAGCACTTTAAACATGCTGGTCTTTTCTGATGGGGAGTTTCAAAATTCTCAGTTGAAGGACCAGTCTTTGTCAGCTGTCCATGATTGCATTATTAATATATTTGCACTTACAATCCATTTCTGAATGCTGACTCCTTCATCTGCAGACTATTGAAATTACATTTTAAAGTGATTTTCAAGTTTGCCTTTTTTTTAAGTGGATTGGAGTGTCCTATGAAAAACTAATGTTGGAGCTGAGTTTTTGAATTGAATGGCAGCCCAAATTTTCATTATCATTCATGTTTTTAATTTCTTATACAGCTTTTGGAGACACATTTGCTGGAATAGGGGTCCGTGAACCCCAGCCACGAGCTAGTGAGGCATTTCGTCAGTTTGGTGATTATCATCGCCAAATGGAAAAATTTGGCATAAAGATGCTGAAGTCAGTTAAACCTGTAAGTTGAGATTTAAAATATACAGATTTAATATTATGTAAAGTAAATTGGTTTGGAAATATTTTCTATTCCCTGTGATTCTGTTTACAAGAATTAAGTCTCTGGCAACTGAACTTGAAGATGCAACACTGCTTATATTTTCTGAAAAGCAGGGAGGATGTTACAGATTTCTAACTAAATTGTAGTGGGTATGTCCTGAATTTATTAATTTCAGTGCAAACCCCATTTTTAACCCACTTTCCTTTTTTAAACAAAGAAAGAAACACTTATTAGATATATGTGTCAGTGTGAGTCCCCTTTCACATTTTGAAGTATTTGATCAGTTTTCACAAAATTTTGTACAAATCTTTTGCCACTGGTGGCCTCACCGTCATTATTACTATTTTATTTCCTGCAAATAGTCATGTCAAAAGTGATTTCCTTTGAAATGTTTATTCAGTGGTCCAGAGAGGTGAAAGTTGCTAGGTGCTATGGTAAATAGGGAAGACATTTCCAGAAAACTGCTGCAGGTGAAGTGTGGTGGTAAATGCTGTGTGGAGGTGGGCATTGTCATGGAGAAGGACTGCTTTCTCTATAGTGTAATCTGAGTCTATTCAAATAATAATTTATTCTCAGAAAGGAATAGGTGGTTATTATTATGGTAATAGGATTAGTAATTGTAATTTATTAAGCTATAGGATTACCATGTTATTTTTCAGTTTTTAGCCTGAAGTAACCTTAAAATTTGTGCATTTTTCAATGGTACATACTTATCAGAAATGTTATAAAATTGTGTATTTTCTGCTTTAGATTTTGTCAGACCTGGGTACATACTTGTACAAAGCCATACCTGACACAAAGTTGACCATTCGCAAGTATGCTGACACTAAGTTTGAGTACTTGTCATACTGTCTCAAAGTGAAGGAGATGGACGATGAAGAGTACAGTTATGGAGCACTTCAAGAACCTCTGTATCGTGTTGAGACTGGAAACTATGAATACAGGTACTGCCTTAATGTCTTCAGTGACATGCCTAGAAAACTTCTTTGTTAGACCCAAAGTATACTAGCACATTTAGATCCATAGATCCATTTCATTTGATGATAATGGACTTTTCCCTATCTCCCACCCCCACCCCTAAAAGACATTTCATTACATTCAGTAAGAAAGTTTTGAATAGTGAAGGTGATGGTCATTTTAACAAATATATTTGTTATAAGCTAGAATTTATATGATTTTGGCATGTCTTATATATGTCTACTTATTTTTCCATGTCCAGGTTGATCCTACGATGCAGACAAGATGCACGAGCAAGGTTTGCACGCCTTCGTTCTGATGTATTGGTGAAGATGGAATTACTAGACAACAAGCATGTGCAGGATGTAGTATGGCAACTTCAGCGTCTTGTAGCTGGGTTAGCAGAGTTTCATGGAGATACACTCACTTTACTGCAGGGAA